GCACGAGGCGTCCTCATTCACCGTCGCGCGGGTTGCGCGCCGCGTGGGCGCGACGGAACTCCCACGGGCAGCGAACATCGGTCCTAAGCGAACGCGTTGGACGTACAGCGAGGGCGTGTGTTTGTTTCGCGTTACTTAATTGAAAGTGAAGAAACATGTTGTATCGTAACCCCGAGCGAGGCGTAAGATACGCCCCCGCGGACGGCCGGAGCCCCGCATAGTAAGCTCCGGCGCGTGTGACTGGGAAAAATCGCTGCTGCGACGCGACATCCATGTCAATGTTGTCAAAATATTAATGTTTTGGACATCGATTTTTCAAAGCTGAAGGTATTTAACGTCTATTGAGCTCGCTCCCGTTACGTTGTCCATGTTTTATTTGTAAATTAAAAGAGTACGGTAAGAAAAAAATGTTATAATTCTAAATATTAGAATCCCTCGTATTGCAACTAAAAAAAATATAGTTAAATTTTTGTCGATAAATGTTGTTTATTATGTTTGTGTTATTCAATCTGAAAAAAAAAGTTAATTGTTCTTACCATTAGTGGACTACGTTTTGCCACTAAATATTGATTACAGATTAATAAACATGGCTTCTGCCAAATCAAATCCACTACCTAGGGTTACTCAGTGAGTTTCAAAAACATGTGTGGTATTATTAAGATGAGCGTTTTAATTCTGCCCGTGGATGTTTCGCTGGCGCTGCGGCGCATGCGCGTTTCCCGGCGACCGCGGCCGCTTTGGCGGACGGCGCCTGGCGTTCGGCGCGCAGTGGGGCGCAGTGCGTTCTTTCGCCTCGTTCAGGACAGTGGGCGATTGCTTTGGCACGGTCTGAATCAGTTGAGCATCGCCGAAGACAAAATATGGGCCGGTTTCAGCAACCGGAATCAAGATGATGATCCCGAGTTGATCCGGATCAACTTCAGTTTGCTCCCGTTGTACGTTTCTCCACGCACTTGACGCGAATCAACGTGTCTGACTTGACTCGCAATTGATCCGTCGCCGAGCGGTGGATCACGGCCAGATCAGGAGTTATTTCTCGGCTTGGTCGTCTAGCTATTCCAGTTTTCCGTATTTTTTAAGTAAATACCTGTCGTTGGACTTAGATTCAGTATGGAAGTATTCGCTAAGAAGTAGGATTGCGCGTAATATTTGTTGAGCAAATGTGTTTTTTAAGATAGTATTGTAAATAAAAGTAGGGTTAACACAATTGTAGGTTAGAATTCTCGGTATTGGAAAGTAAAATTTAAATATATTTTGGCTTCAAATTAGTGTAATTATAAGTAATATAGTTGTAGTTTATTGGAGGCGCTATTTTTCTGCATTTCTATCTGATTTTTGCGATGTCTGTATTGCAATTGGCGTGGGATAGTTTTATTGAATTTTTTTTAGTGTAGTAATACTTTGAATTTTTGTTATTGTGAGGCTAATTTGTGTCGTAAAAATGGAGTTTGTTTCGAATAAAGTCATTGAAGATTTATTGTGGGGAGAGACACCACGAGTAATTCCCAAAAGAAGCGATTATTTTGAAATGTCAGAACGAGCATTAAAACTTTCTTTATATTTTCTTATTAAGCTTTTGAGTAATTCTCTTTCAACTGGAGAGAAATTGGGCGTCGTCTATGCATTCTTTCCAACATCAGGTGAATCCATCACCGAACAAGAATACTACCACACGCAACCGAACACCACACAGACGGAACGAAATGAAATCAAATCAACTCGTTTCCTACATCTGAGCGCGAGAATACCCACACTGCATTGCCAAATTGTTGCCAACCGTGCATTTTCACGACTGCTCACGAATCATGGGATCCAGATTAACTTCGAAGTCTCAAAACGTTTGTGAAACGCACAGGGATCAAGTCGGCCTTGACTCCACGGATCAGGATCACGAAACTCGGATCAACTACGAATTTGATCCTGGTTGGTGAAACCGGCCCTATGAAATTCATCCACCTGCAGATGACCTGAACCGAACGCCACCTATTAATGCTTCATTAATATCAGTTCATTAATACCCTTAGAGTTTAGGGATAGTTTTAGTGATGATATCCTCTCTAAAAGTAATATTGTAAGAATTGATTCTAATGGCGTCGAAAAGTGTGTGAGAATATTAATGTGAATTATTTGGTAGTGAAATTCAAAGCGAGGTCGCGTACGTCGAAGGTGAATGGTCAACGCAATATGGTCCAATATCAAGACCGCCCTATTCACATCATACATGCATTCACGTAAATTCGCAAAATAACGACAAAAAGTATCCGTAGTACGCATCGTAGTACCACCAGCCTGCTTTAGCGATGGTCCGTTAGAAATTTGCTATGTTTTCGTTTTGAAACATTTTGATCTTGCAAAAAGGATGTTTAGAAACATAATAGTAAAAAAGGTAACATAACAAAATTTTGTTTTTATTGATTTTTCTAGCCCCCAACTAAGATGTTACTCCTATGTTGCATGGTCACTTTCACTACTGCTGTGTTGTGGTGAAGTGGTCATCTATGTAAATACCACATTGCATTGAGCTACCTGTGCCACTCTTTAACTGTTGTGCACTGTTAGACACAAGGTACTCTCACGAGCCTGAATTGTGCCGGTTGTCAGTCTACCGACGGCACATCCCTTTCCGTTGTGCGAACAATGAAGCAGATAGCAGCATTAATGGCGCGAGACAGACCCATCAAACGACGCTTGCTCATTGGAGGCTAGCTTTAGAGTACGCAAATGCCGATGATGCCTCGGTGTTCGTCATGTAGCACCATTAGTTTTATGTGTTGTGGAAGCTCAGTTTTAAAATTAATTTTAAACCCAATACATTTGCCTGAGTTGTTCATACTCTGGCATGGAAAATTACGAAGCATCCATTGAATTAATTAAATTGATGTTTCATTAACAAATTAGCTGTAATTATCGTCAGTCCGATACAATAAGTCATAGTGATTCATGTTGTGCCGGAAAGCCAGTATAGTAATTAATAGCGCTTCATGCTTAAAACTCCCCAAAACGCGTTTTAGATCTTTAATACACCCAAAACCATTTAGGTACTCAACCCCTTGTACACACATACACATATGTATGCACTCACACGTTTCTTTTCGAGAATTCCCTGTTCATGTGTACACATGTTGAATATCATTGTACGTGTCCCGAGTGGTGCATCGAAAGTGGTCGATTCCTGACAGTGTAACATGGACACGCGATGGTTACCCACTTGCCATATGTAGGATTGATTTCATCGCTCTTGCGAACTGAGAATACCGATGTCTTGCATACAATTGGTGTGGCAATCACCACAAACGACAATGGATTTTAAGGCGTCATTACTAATTTTATTGAGAGCATTCTTCTGCGTTGGCGCTCCGGCCTGATATCCGCATACACACACTACGAATCGTAGCAAGGTGATGGGCGCCTGGTTTGCGCATGCGCACTAACCACCCGGCTTTCCGAGGCCAACCGGCGCGGAAGCACGTATGATGGTATTTACTTGGCTATCCGGGAGAGGTCGCAAATGGCGACCGAAACGTTGGCACCTGCGTCCTGGACGCGGCGTCTCCCGGAGAGCCAAGTAAATACTGACTCCGGCCGCGGAAGCCTACGCTCTATTAACAGTCATCACTCAACTGGACACTATGTTGAATATCGCTGCGATTTGTACGCACATTAGAGTTGGATGTGCAGAAACATTTTTTTAAATGTGCACCTAAACATTCCTGTTTTGTTCTTTGTTTACGTTTCTATTTAAAATAACACAATTTCTACAAATGCAAATGATTGCATTGATTGCATCTGAAGTATTTATCACATTTCTTTTGCACTGAAAAATTGCGTTTCTGAATGAATAGTCATTCCGAACAATTTCAAAGTAACGTTTCGAGAATTAAAGATTTACACAGAGCTGTGCATGTTTCTGGACTAAGTTCCATGAAGAAGATTTGCGAATATACAATTGAAGGTAAATTATACGTCTGAGCCAAATTCTAGAAACGTTGATAAACCTCATAATATCCGTATGCTATTGGATAGTGTTTGTGGTGACAGGACTTCCCCCTGCTATATAGTCACGAGTTTTGAGAAAGGAGCCAAATGCATGGGCTGTAAGCAAGGTATTAGAGTCCCGACGACCTCAAGTAAAGTAAGTCGCAAAAGTACGACAGACATTAATTACAAATATTTCTGCGTGTTTCGACCCTGCGCACGTGTGACGTATTCAGAACGTTCGTTCGACGAAAGTAGGAGTGGAGGAGTGGGAGGGCGGTGGACGCTGGTGTCGCCGCGCTATAATAAGGCCGGGGGCGGGCGCTGGTTGACGTCAAGCACTGCGGCGGCGGCGGCGGCGGCGGCGGCGGCGGCGGCGGTGGCGGTGGCGGCGGCGCGATGGCGGCGGCAGGGGGAGCAGCCTGCGGCTCCCGGACAACCAGGCGGCCAGGCGGCAACGCCTCCGAACAGTGATTAGAGCAGGCCTGCCAGAAACGGTGGCCTTCGGGCCACCGCTCAGGGCAGCCGCGGGCACACGGGGCGTCACGCCGGAGCCAAGCCCAAGTCCTCAAACTGAGTTTTGGGAAGACTAGGCTCGAAGAGGGGAGAGGGGGCTCCGTGCCACCAGCGTTCAGCCAACGTGGCGCGCTTGTCTCAGACTTGTCAGTTGTCTACGCAAAGAATACTTCTGATTTGTTTTTGTGTTACGAATTACCGGATGATTACCGGATTACGCACGAAAACGTTTCTACTCAATAACGACGTGTGCTGGTTTGTTTTGAGTAATTTCGGTACAATTTTGGTTTGTTTTCGGGAACACACTTCGGTCATTCCTCGCGTTGCAGAAGTCGCGATGTCAGAGCCGCGCCGCTCGCACAGGGGAAGGCGGGCGGGAATGGCGAGAAGTGGCCCTGTCGATGCCCCAAATCTCCCCCCCCCCCTTTTTTTTTGTTGGCATCATGGCAAATCGGCAATCATGGGGCCACGCGATAAGTGCATCCCACCGGGTCTCAGCTTTGAATATCGGGGTAGGTGCACGTTACTTTCTATTTGGGGGAATAAGCATTTGTACGCTTAAACGTTAAGAGACACACACAACACAACCATGCCCGAGGCGGGACTCGAACCCGCGATCCTTCGGTCCGAGATCGCTACGGCACTACTGCCTTAGCGATCTCGGCCACCGGATCGGCTATGTTTTATTTTTATTTTTTTATTTTTTATATTTATTTATTTCTTTACTTATTTATCTATTTATTTATTTTTTTATTACGAAACTGCCCCGAGTCCAGCCTATTA